CCCATCCCACCCCAGGGGAGGACATCCATCACACAGTAATCTCGTGTGTGGGAAATTAACGTCTCCTGCCCCAACCCTGCAGGAGACGGGACCTCCATTTATTTGTCCCTATCCGAGAAGACTAGAATATCTAACCATTTCTTGATGTTATAGAAAGGTAGCAAATTCTTCTCAATTATTTTAAGACCTTGAGTGTTGGTCCGGCCGGGCCTCGAACCCTCGACCTCCAGCACTACAGTCCAGCGCTCTATCCATTGAGCTAACCAGGAGGCACACTTGATTTTCGAGAGTCCGGATAATCGAGAGTTCGGATAATCGAGAGTCCGGATAATCAAGAGTCCAGATAATCAAGAGTCCGGATAATCGAAAATATGAATATTAATAAGATAGAAATGTAAACAAAATGTATACAGCAAATAAAACATCACTTTAATTGTGATAGCTACACAGCCTGTATGTATTAACAAATAACACAGAATATTTCTTTGTCTCGTCACACTTGCGAATTTTGAAAAGCGCACAGGATAATACACCATTTTTACAGTCTTTTGAAAGGATTAGTGGGCTTTTTGCAACTCTGAGTTTTTAAGATCACAACTAATTAATATTCATGAAAAATTGGGACCAGAGAAAAAAGTCCAGATAATCAAATAGTCCAGATAATCAAGGTCCGGATAATCGAGGTTTGACTGTACTTTGGAAAATTTTGGCAATAATACACAATGATCTGAGAATGTACTTTTAATTAATTCTTGCAGAATATTGATCAACCAATATGTTTTCAGTTATAATTTTGGCTCATTAATATTCATATTTTCAATTTACCAAAATCTCAATCATCCCGACTGACACTCTAAAAGAGCCATCTCCCTATGAAACAGCCACAACTAAGCAGATGATTCATAATTTCCGTCTAAATTTCAATCAATCTTCAATGGCCACCTCTCTGCAATCCAACTAGTCATGAAAATTATCAATATCCAACTGCTTTGTAGAGTACAAATAATGTGCGAGACGAGTACAAATATCACATAATATGTATACTCCAGAAATATCCACGAAATTTGCCCGCACTAGAATAACAATTTGGCATGATGGATAATAAATTCCTCATTAGATATTTTGTTGCGTAGTATCGCTGAGTATTTTTGCTTGTTGTTTATATTTTGACTTGCCCTATCGGCTCATCAAAATACGGCACAACTCGTAAAATACTCGCCGATACTACACAAGAAAACGTCTTTAAATAAGATAAAAGTATTCATATTCTCCGTGCTAGTTTTTCTATGGTATTGACCGGGAGAGTATGTTTCATAATTGAGTGCTTCCTGCATTGGCAATTATTTCCGTATGACCTTAATATTTGATTCAAGGGTGATACTATCAGGAGAAATGAGATGCTCGTCACTCTCCTGGATTAACTCTTTGACCCCTGAGAGTACGAATAAGTAAAGATTTGTTAAAACATTTTACAATAAAAATCTGCAATAAAACATGCAGCACGAAATGGGATTGCCTGGTCAACAAAATGTTGTACATAAGAACAATAAGACCTAATTTTAACACCCAGAGTGACTCCATTAAGGCTAGGCTCTTTGTTTGACTCTCAATGCCTCTTAATTCATTCATTTTCTCATCTATATACATCTTAGTTTTGTTATTTCATTCTCACTTGATAATGACGTTCTGGAAACAGTGAAACGTCGCGTAATGTTTTCCAATATTTTATCGCAGATTTTTTTAGTAAAACCCCTAAGAGTGTCTGTATCTAATTAAGATCACAAAAGCACAGGAAATGATTCCAAACTAATAAAAGAAACTCTTACGTGTTTAACAATTCTCCATGTTCATGCTACAGGAAATGCAAAGGGAAAAGTGTGGAGAATATGCATGCAGATTTTAGTGGGGCTCCCACGTGCACCATGGAATATGGTCAACCTCTTTTCATCTGGTTGTAACATGACTGACCGAGCACACGTAGGTACGTATTTACGTGCCTTCATATTGCACGGGTAGGGTAGGGGAGACTATCAAAACGAAGGGAGGGGTGTCTCAGGTGAGTTTTGGCAAATGCACATCTTTTATGTTATCATCAATATTATGAACTTGGGAGCTCCACTTTTAGGCTTAGCTAAATCTATATATTAGGATGTCAAAGGTTAACCCTTTAACTCCCAGAAGTGATTAACATGTAACTTCTCCCTATAAGATCTATACATTATCCTGAAAACAGTTAATGAGAATACTCAAACTTATCAGGTAGAAGTTGTCACCTTGATCTAATAACAAATTCTCATAACTAATCTACAAGACAATGTGTAACAGCAAGAGTTGAGAATTAACAATCAGATCTCAGGAGTTAAAGAGTTAAGGATTATGGCAAGGTCTAATGTTTTTATTGATTGCCAAGGAACTGAACCTGCAACTAAGGTAGTAAGATACCAGCTAGGGGCCTAGCCAGCCTATAGGCCAGTGGGCCTGGGCCTATAACTCTCATTCTGCTTGCTTGACTTTTAATATAGAGTAATGACTCTAGCAACTATTGAAACAGAAATTGAACTTTCTTTAGTAACAGGCCCACAAAAAGGACTATGCAAGTCCTATGTCCTATGCCCATGCTATCAGAATCCCTTATGCACTTTCATTTAAAGGGATCCAATGACTGATCAGACTGACTGATTAGGAAAATTGATTCCATATTGAGCAGCATCTCATTGTCCACTGACTGATAGCAAGAATTCAAGCTAAGAACAGGTAGCATCTTGCTTTTGCCTGTCAGAATGCCTGCACACTTTCATTTAAAGGGATCCAGTGACTGATCAGACTGACAGGGAAAATTAATTCCACATTGAGCAGCATCTCATTGTCCACTGACTGATAGCAAGAATTCAAGCTACAATCAGGCAACATCTTGCTTTTGCCTGTTAAGCTCTTGTAACTCTTTTCTGGCATCTTCAAGCTTTTCTGTGCAATAAACAAAAGATTTCAACTCCCACTTTTGCATTTTAAGTCTCCATTTGTAGTCTGACTTCTTCACCCCTTAACCCCTTGAGGTAGTCATTAACAGAACAATGGGACAAACCTTAATTTTCTAGTGTGATGAATGTGTAACTTTTCCCTAGAATATCAAAGCATAATCTAGCAAGCATTTGACGAGAACTGACGAACTTGACAGGTAAAGGGTGTTCTATTTACCCTTCAACTAAAACAGATCTCGGAAAACGGCGAAAATCGCCAGGTGTGCCGGTGCGGCGATTGCGAGTTTCGCCAGGTGTGTCGTCGGCGTTTAGAAGTAGAAGGGCCGAGGAATCAGGGTTTGCAAAATGACAAGTAACACCCATTCCACTTACTTTTGAACTGGCCAACCACGCGTGTACGATCAGAAAGAAAAAAAACATTCCCTGATCCCTGTCTTGCGTATACTCTCTATAAAGAAAATAAACCAGATTTCTCTCATCCTCGTGGCTAAAAAGCGGGAACACTAGGTCTGTTATCGAAAAAATAAATAACAAACCTTTTTCGGATGTAGACAGCTGAGTTCATGGTTTGTGACTTCCAACTCCTTTATCTACAAGCATAAAGGACATAGTTTTTCATCAGAATCCTTAAATGGTGGAAATATTGAGAGATAATACCTCGTATAAAGTCTGTGAGATCTTAACGTTTAGCAAAGGTACCAACGTTTCTTCTTGATTATCAGCCATATTGGATGTGAAAGGGATTTTGTGTAAGTGGTTAATTTGGGTACCAGTCTCACTCGTTTTAAGTGCGACTCGAGAGCTGTAGACGGAAACTAAAGTCCTCCCACAGACGGAACGGTTCGAAAACGCACGCTTTGTCGGTCATCTTCAAACGAATAAAAGAGAAAGAGAAGTAACCAAAATATGCCAGTGCCGATTCGATAATTAATTGCAATTAGCATCCAAAAGTAATGTAAAATACGACCAAACGGGTGATGAGTAATGCAACTGAACTGCGGTGTTATATCGTAAATTGTATAAGTATTACATGTAAATTTTCCACTTCGTAAATATTTTTATGTATAGTGAAAATGTAAATGAAGATGGCAGTTTGGCAGGTATAGATTTTAGAATACAGGTGAGGAAAAATTGCGTGTTTTGGCCGACTTAAGAGTCAGAATTAAAAGAATCAGGACTGGAACATCCCTGTCAAGAAAACCAAGCTCACAAAGAATGGAAAGCAGCCGAAGAAGCTCCTGAAGATTACCTCCTGGACGTCAGTCTCAGCCAAG